AATTAACTAACCATAGTTAATCACTATTTAAATCTTAGAAAGCCTAAAAGGGTGTGGTGTGAAAAATATGTCATGAAATTATCAAACAATCAACCATGCAGAGAGAAACAATTGTCTAATTATATATTAAAAATTCAAATATTGTACTCACAAGAGGATTTGAGCAAAAATGGACATCAACTATTATCCTATGATCAACAAGTTTAAAAAGGTTTATGATGTTACAAACTTATTAAGACATAGTCCCTGTAATCAAACATGGATAGAACAATCATCATCTAATATTCAAGTAGATTTATAGAAAGGGTGGAATGATATACAAATTATGGCACAATCGAAGCAACAAATCTAATGATCAACTGTCATCCTATGATTGAGAATTCTAATGAGCATTGGTATAGCGCACTTATCAATTCTCCTTAAAAGGAAGATTTCTATTGTAAATGATTAATATAACAGTAATGCATACCTTAGACCAAACTTAATAAGGGATTTATATTTAGAAGGTAAAAATTGTTCTCCAAAAATATGGAAGAAAATTGTTTTCTACTCCTATGTCAAAAAGGATTTTTTTTTTTTTTACTCAATGGAAGAAGGGTTTTCTAATTTTTTGACCAAAAACATATCTATTTTTATAATAGAATTAGTTTTTCACTCTTATAAAAGAGATTCCTTTCTTTTTTTTTACTTCCATGATAGAAATAATTTTGTAACAACTATGAAGTACAAATCCAATGTGGTTATATTAGAAGGTCATAAGAAGTCACTCATAAATATGCTAGAAAAAATGTCATAAAGAGATAAAGCATCAAATATATGATGACAAACTTATATAAATGTTGGAGACTAACTCATAAGAATATTAAGATGTCTACCAAGGATTACATGCTTACAAAAGAATATTTATTAAGGAATATTAAAATAAAATATTTATCTTATTCCAAATATTAGAAAAAATAAGGAAGGTTGCTCTAGAACCCAAAAGTTATACATGCATTAATGGTAAGAATAGTAACAATAAGTGTTGTTAATTAAGCAATCAAACAAAGCTTAGATGATTTGGTAAGGATTTTTCATGATAAGACCACCAAATAAAACATATTCATCTTCACTAGGAAAGACTTTAACTTAGTTTATCAGTCTGTATAAGGCAACATGTAAAGGGGTTACAACATGAATACTTAACATTATCATAGATTCAACAACACACCAATCATCAGAGCTAACTCTATTTTGGATTTTTAAGATAATAAATGATTTTTATATAAATATCTTGAGAAAAGATAAATAAGATATTGGTCCTAACTAAACTAAAAGTTTCAAACCCAGTTTATATGTTAATCTATGTCAAGGCAATACAATCTTTAAGGATAATACAAAAATGGTTATCATGATCATAAGGAAAGAGAATGAGCTTCATGAGAACGTTATTATCTTGTATGGAATAACTAAAATCAGATATAAGTCAGGCCTAGAAAAAGTGTACACTTAGTACAAGATGAGGTATTTAACTCCTTTCGGGATTTCATTTCTACAAATAATATAATATAGTAAGAGGGACTTTGTTTATATTGATTAAATCTAATCAACACCAAAAAAAGAGAGTGTGTCTTGACATCCTTTAAAGGCTTTATATGCACCACTTAACAAGATAAGGGGAATTGTGACTTATTAGGTTATAGGGTGACATCACCATAGTTGAGCCACAAAAGTATCATAGGTAATGTTTTGAACTCATTTGAGTCCAAAATGGGATATCACATATAATAAAAAATATGATTTAAAACTCATGCACATAAACTTCTAATGCATGTATCATATAAGCAGGCAGAATATTTAAAATATCAAATGTGTGCAACACTATTGATATCCACCATTCCAATAAGAATTTGATCCAAAGCATGTTATGCATCATAGTGCTTTCAATAATTTTTCTTAATAAACATTTTGGGCTACTAACCATTAAGATCTACTGACTTGTAAAATCTAACTATAAAGTACCACTTGACCAAAAAAAAGGGTGCAAAAACACTGATATCCACAATTCCAACAAGAGTTTGATCCAAAGCAATTTATGCATTTAAGCGTGTACAAAATTTAAAATATCAAAAGTGTTCAACAATACTAATATCCACCATTCCAACATGATCTTGATCCAAAACATCTTATGCATTATACTGCTTTTAATAATTGTTCTAAATAAACATCACGGTTTACTAACCATTCAAATCTATTGACTTGTAAAATCTAAATTTAAAGTACTACTCGACCAAAAATGAGTTCTCATATAAGCTTAAACTTTCCATTGATCTTATAGTCGGTTGAGATTATTCTTTATAACACTATGACCAAACATATGAATCTACAACAAACATACCATGGAGAACTAGTTAATTGATCAATATGCTTATATATTAATAAAAATAATAGTGCCAAAAGTAATGTGTTAAATCACCCAAAAAAATTGATGTCTAAATAAATTTCAAATCGTACTAAAAGCATACTAAGATAGCATTAAGATTTCTTAGAACTCCCCACTCAAGCATACCAAAACGATCAAAATGGCGTTCAAATTCTTATTTTCAAGGTCATGTAAGCCCACCATAAGAAATTATAAAGTGTGCTAATTTGTCATTCCATGCATATTTTGATGAAATAATATCTCCAAAATATCCTTTTAACAACTAGTCCTTTTAATATATATATATATATTTAAACTTATATATATATATATATATACATATATAATATTATAAATGATAATTATGAGATGTCAACCTAGTAATGAGGCAACAAAAAAATGACTATTAAATCTGATTAAGCCAAATGAATCAAAATTGAGTATTTGATCTGATATACATGTTGAAGCAGTAAATCCACAGCATCAAAAAGCATATGAAGGTTCCTCTAACAATACTCAAATAACTCCCATGTTATACTAATTGAGTTTGATCGATTATTTTGGTATTGAGGATAAACATTAGTTTTCCAACATTTGGGTTAATCTTGCTTCATGCCTCTAAGCCAAGTAGTCGACCAATAATCAATCTTTCAACAAGTTAAACAAGGAAACCCATTGTTCCTTTTAGGGCATCCAAACAGTTAAAAGAAAGTCTATTTAACTCAATAAAAAGTAACAACAAGATTCACTTTATATAAATCATCACAATAAAATCTATAAATAAAATGTCTGTTCCCACAACTCTCTCTCTAACTAATGGCCCCCCAAGGATTTTTTTTTCATTTTTATTTTTTTTCTACTTTGGTTCTCTAAATAATTTCTTTGAAAATTAAACCATAAAATCTTGATTCATTGTCCCAAATCCTGACCTCAAATCCTCATCTCCATCTTAAATAAAACATAGGACAGACGAGATGTGATGAGATGTATAGTTTTTTTTTTTCAATATTATATTTTACTATTTGAGTAAAGCTTTATTTCAACATAAGAACAATGGTATTCTACCAAACACACAAAAGGCCACAAAGCCCCTACTTGATAACTATCAAAATACGTTCATCAATCACAAGTGATTCAGCACAACTGTGTAATTAAGGTCCCGTTTGGGGCAGTTTATTTGGTGCGGTGGCGTTTTGAAAATGCACCTGGACTGTTTGGGTAAACTGCATTTTGGCAGCTTATGTGTTTTCAAAAAGCTGAAAACAGCATTTTCACACCGCACATATCTAGGTGTGGAGAAAGCTTTCTGGCAGCGGTCTAGTTTTTCAAAAAAAAATAAAAACTTGTAATGCCACCACACATAGCTTATTAGCAGATTATTTTTAATCGGTTTATTAACAGATTATTCAATAAGTTGTCGCTGCCTCAAAGAGACCCTAAGTTAAAGGCTAGGTTGGTCAAGCATATCGGTTCGCCCAATTTCACTGTCAGTGGTGATTAAGAGGAAAGGATTCTCAAAACTAGTGATTTAACAACCCTCAATTTAGAAAGCCTCGCTTTACTTGTATGAAATAAAATAACGATGCTTTATTGTCCAAATACCCTAAAAAAATTCCCAATATAACAAAACATTTGAATGAAAATTGATAGAACTTGAACATTCTTTTTTTGTATTACACCCTTTGTACATGATTCACTGTCATGCAGACGGGTCAGACGACGTGCTAAAATTAATTTTTTTTTACTCATTGCACAAGTTTAGAAAGATTTGTTTTTACCGTGGTTTATAGGTTTTTTGTAGTGAGTTTTACCACTGCAAAAATGCTAATAGCGACTTTGAAAATACTGCCACACTGTCATACTTGCAATTTGCTGCAAAACCAACATTGATCCCCATACATTCGTGTAAACTAGCTTTAGCCTTTTGGATTTGATCACCAGCCATACCAATCGTTGAGAAACCAACCCCATTGATCCCTCCTTGAACACAATTTTCACCGATGCGTATTCAATAAAATTTTAAAATTAAATGTTTAATCTTAGAGTGAAGAGCCTTTACGACTTTATCACCCATATGATGCAGTTTTAAATACAGATTTGAATTTTACCACATAATGATGGCCATTTCTATTATTTTGATGATGGTGGTGTAAAATGCATCTTTTTTTCTCTCTCTCGATCAATCATCAATGTACTTTTTGTCGATTCTGAACTATTATCATATAAATGTAGTAGCATCCTTCTATTATTAGCTGCTCAATGAAATCATAATTTTCCTTGAGCTAGGGACATGCCTTACTTAATTCAGCCCCCAAGCAATGAGACTTCCAATTAACACTCACCATCAATAAAAAAACATTTTATTATAACTGCATGTACACTAATTTTTCATTAGAAATTTAGGGGCGAATACAAAGCATTTAGGGCATCAGGAACATCTTTCACTACAAATTCATCTGTCTACTCCGCCTGACAATAAACTATTTTTGTTTAGATAAGTTAGCGTTTGAAACTAATCTTTTAAAATAACAGGAAGAGAATATTTGAACTTCTATGCTAAACTAAAGGACAAGGAAAAAATCCTCAATCAAATACCAAAACATAATAGTGGCAATAAGGCGCGAGCAATTATTGAGCAATAGGAAGTCCCAAAAAATAAAAGGTAATGTTGCAAAAGTATAGCCAGAAAAATTATACTGCAAGTTAAAAATAAGGAAGGGATGATGGGATTTTTTACAGAAAGAATCATTAGTACGGTAACAGTTGACTGAAATTTTGCCTTCCCACGTTTATTTTAAATCTGACTCGGAAAACAATTTACTGGCTTACAAAATCCCGGTTCAAGGAAGAACAGTCCTCAGCTCCTTCCTATCTGCTCCAAATGCCTGTTGCGGAATATTGCAAGTTAAACAAATTATAAGGTTGGCACAATGACAACAGAAAGTTTATGCTCAAACCTACAAAAGATTATTTCAGATATTCAAGCTTCTTATGAGTTAGTAGCAATAACTAAAGTAGATGGTCCATATTTTCACCTATTAAGAATTTCAGTTGAGATATTTCAAGTAAACTAATTATTGCAATTCATTATGGATTTGATTTTAATTACAAAGCCAAAGTTTTTACATGTTATTTAAAAAATTGGTCAAAATCTTTTGTACAATCGAATGCTTAGATTCAATAAAATGGTATTTCGTGAGAAAATATTGGGCGGCCGAGTATATTGTGTAATATGATAGATTTGTTTCCGAAGAAAAAAGGGAAAAAAAAACAATACTAGGAGATGGAAGATAGATGCACCAAAGTTTCATTACCTCTACACCAAGACCTTTAACATACACATTAGTAAATAACTCAGACGGATCAGGCAGGGGAATTTCCTGAAAAAAAGGCAGGGGAATAATGTTAGGAGCAATCTAAACCATAAATGTAAGCTAAAAATGGTTAAATTTCTTAAACACGGTTTCCATTAGAAAAGCACTAGTTACCTTGGCCTGGGCAATAGCATCATCTACCTCTTTTCTGAGTTCCTTTTCGATATCCTGTGATAACAGGGAAAAATTACTTTTTAGTTTTTTCTATTCTGAAATGTTAAACCCCAAGTTCCTTTTTTTTGTACTGAATTTTATGTTAAAAAAGTTCATTCTGTTTAGACAGGATATTAGAAGCATAAGATGGTAAATTTTCCTTGAGCTCGGAAGCAGTAGATTTTAAAATAATAGGTTAGTAAATTTACCTTGAGTTCAGAAGTAGTGGAAAGTTCATGGGAGAGGATCAATTTCCGAACTCTTTCAATTGGATCACGCTCCTGTGAAAACAATTATACAGATGGCTCGGTTGAATCAATCACTGAATGAAATAAAGCACTTCTAAAATTTAAGATTCTGAAAAAACTGACCTGTCTTACACCCGAAATCTCATCACGTGTTCGGTAAGTGCTTCCAGGATCAGACATCGAGTGACCATGGTACCTGTAGGTATCCATTTCAAGGATCTGCGTATTTGGAAAAGAAAAGATACTCAGAGAATGGTCCACTTGAATGTAATTGCTAAAAGAAAGAGGAAATCAACCCAATATTATTAAACAGCAGGAAAGCATCCAGAAATAGTTGATAATCACTGTATGACTATCAAAATTGTATGTTCAAAATGCCACAGCAGTAGAATGTTCCTGTTAAACATGAAAGCCAGCCCCTGCAGACGGATCAATGGTAGTGATTTTGTGGTGGTTTCCAGAAATGTTGGGTTTTGTGATTATGGTGTTTGCCTAAAATATGGTGATTGTGTTATGATTTTGGTGGTTGCCCGAAATAGTGGTTGTGTTGTTATGGTAGTTGCCCGAAATTTTGTCGTGGTTGTTGGTGGTTGCCCAAAATATTGTGGTTATAATGTTATGGTGGCGGTGATATTGGTGTGCGTATTGTGGCGTTGGTGGTGGTTGTGGTCATATGGTGGTAGTGATGGTGTCATAGTGATGATGTGGTGTTGGTGTTATGTGGAGGTGGTGGTGTGGTGGCAATAGGTTTTTCATGATGGTAGTGTTGGTATTGTGGTGTTGGTGGTGGTTGTAATGTTGTGGTGGTAGTGGTGATGTGGTAGTGGTGTTGGTGTGGTGTTGTTGTTGGTGTTAGTGTTGGTGTGGTTTTGAGGAGTTGGTGTTGGTGGTGATGGTATGGTGATGATAGTGTTGTTGATGAGACAGTGCTATGGTGATGATAGTGTTGTTGATGAGACAGTGCTATGGTGGTGATAGTGTTGGTGTTGAGGCAGTGATAGCTTGTTGGTGTTGATGTGATGGTGGTGGTTTCTTGGGTGTTGATGTGATGGTGGCGGTATCTTGGTGCAAATGATGTGGTGGTGGTAGATGGTTAATGTGCGATGGTGACAATATGTTAATTGATTTCAGCTGTTTTTGTATCTTTTCTTTGTGTATCTCCCTAAAATTTATGTTGTTTAGTTCTTAGCATGCTAGTTGTCGTGATAAGCAAGACAAAAGAAAACAATTTGTCTGCTTCCTGGAATAAAGAGATAACATTAATATTCTATGATCTCTACGTTAAGAAGCTTGAATTGGAAAATAGAACAACCTCCTATTTTAACAAGAAATGTTGGCAGAATATAATAAAAAAGTTTAAGGAAAGCACAGAAAGAGAATACCACATAATGCAATTTAAAAACAAATGGGATAAGTTAAAAAAGAACTGGAAAATATGGAAAAGATATAAAGCGAGGATCCAAAGGCTTGAGTTGGGATCCTCTAAAGCGAACCATCGATGCTTCTGAAGAACGGTGAACCAAGAGATTGGATGTAAGAATGTTTGAAACGTAAACTTGTTTAAATTTTTTAAGTTATATTAATCAAATTAAATTTTAAATGATTAGTAGGTCGTGCCAGCCTCGAAAAAATTCAAGTTCAGTAACATCGACCCTAAGCTTGAAAATAAGTTGGATTGTCTGTTCAGTGGAGTGGTGGCCACTGGTGATCAAGCATAGGCACAAAGCGAGAGAATGCACGAAGGCAGAGCTGAGCATTTAGAAGCGGAGCAATCTGCTGGGCCAATGAGGGGTCCAACCCAAACCTAAATGAAGTAGGATCTACAAGTCGATCCAAACGCCCAATGATAGAGAAAAAGAAAAAAAGATGATGTTGCTTTCATTAGAAATCAGATATCTCAATTAGTGACTTCATGCGCCAATGAGCCCATTGGATCAAATGTGAATTCTATTCAACAGATTGTAAGAATTCTGAAAGATACTCCAGAAATTGATGAGGGTATGTCGTCTTAATTGTTTTTCATAAGTTGTTAGAAGAACCGACTAGATATATGTCAATGAAACTTGACCGTATGATTAATTATTTACACTATTACTACGACAATCGAGATGCATGAATTTTATTTTGATTGACATCTTTATGTGAAATTTTAACTGTGGACATTATATGCTACATTCGTTGTGTTTGGTTTTTCATTTTTTTATTATTTTGACATCTTTAATGCAGTTCTTGCAATACAGTGTTATTTATATGCTATTTTTTTATGTGCAATGTATTTCTTTCTAATTCAGTGTTATTTATATGTGCTAGCTGAATAAACAATGAATATCACAAATAGAGAAAGACACGAGAATAATTGCAGTTGTATTATGTTCAATATATGAATATTACAGCTCACATGTCGTGTGCTCTACTTGCATGATATCTACATACATAGGTAACAAGTGGGTTGGGGAGTTTCTTGTGGATCACCCCATATGGTTTAACATGTTTCATATGACACCTCCAATTTAGCTTGAATATGAACAAATGAAATACTAATATCTTATGCAATACTGATGATTAATATTACATTATGAAAATATTACTTGGTTGAGGTTGCATATCTATTACAAATAGGGTATCCCAAACTCTTTCCTCATACCAAATATCACATTTCTGACTTGGAAAGAGATATCAATGTCACTCGGGGTAGAAAAGAGATGTTTAACAAGAGATAATCATCTTTAAGCCGTGTCATTAAAAGGATATTTGGAGTTTGAAAGGAAAATTGAGTCATACTGCAGTAGAGCCAATATATATATATTTCCTAAACAAGTACAGATTGTGGCCGCCACAATGTCACTCCACAATTATATTCGGCAGCATTCTTCGCAGAACAACATTGACTTCAATATGACTGATGAATGTCATTCACATGTCCCTGTTGGATCATATGAATATTGCTTAAAATAATCTTTATCACAAATTGAAAGTGATTTGTCTGAGACTTGCACCCAAAATGGGGAAGGTGTAGAGGAGATCATAGTTGAGGGAGCAAATTACAGATGCCATCGTTAGCAAGTGAATAGAGTGACTGTATGTTTTTTAAGTGCTGTTACTTTATTTCAATGTATTGTGAAAATTTTTTATTGTTTATTGTATTGATGGTTTATGTGATGATGTACATTTTGAATCTCAATGTTATTTTCAGTTCTTTTGCATGTCTTTTTTTCACACTTGGATGGTCGATGAGACAACTGTGGGTACAATATGTAATGTAAGTTTGTATTACATATTTTATTTTTTGTTTTGAAAGTCTATGATGAGATGTTCGACCTTATGAGTTCTTCTGGATGGCCTATATGTTACTGTTGGTTCTTGACACGTGTGGAATCCCAATGAAGGCAACCAAATTTCTTTTCTTTTTCAAAACTTTTGAGATTCTTTTGGATGGCCTTTTTTGGATATGCATGTGTGATACATACGAGCTCGTTATTGCATGGTTTAAAGACAACCAAGAACTCATATTTTTTTAAGATCAATTTTCTTCTTATAGTGACAGATTTGTTGGTTTATACTCTTGTTCTCTAAAACCTCACAGTTTCATAAAACTTGAATTGAGCATTTCCACTATTCTTTATTACTGATATTGTATCTAAGGTTATCTGCTTTGTGGTTTTAGACTTTCAAAAAAGATGAGCTTGAGGACTTCTGGTACCTCCAGAACATTATATTGTTATCATGGACTACAATATTTCATGTTTATTTCGCGACAGCTATATAACCAAGGAAGACAATTTTACAAGTGTCAAAGAAAAAGATCAGAGAATAGGGACTTCTTTAGGTGAGCGGATCGGTTCAAAGATTTCATCGTCGAGAGTGATCAAGTGTGGAGAGTTTCGTTAGAGGACGGATTATCTCGTGATATTAACCAAATGCATTTTAAAAAAAATATTATCATATTATTAATTGTTATTTTAATAGTCTTTTTATTTAAATTTGGATTGTCGTGTTACTGCTTTGTGAGATTACTGTTTTTATTTTGTAACATTCAAACTAGATATTTGATTTCAAGTATGAAATGCGCTAGCTAGATCAATTATGTAATAAACATCACTATACTACTGAGGCATGAAGGTTATTTGCTCAGCAACAACTGCAGCACAACTATTGTAAAACTACCAAAAACAAACAGACAGTCAGCTTCTACGCAGCAGCTACCTGATACAGCTGTTGTGCAACAGTTTTTTAATAAGTTGTAGCTGCCTCAAACAGACCATAAATCTCCCCACCAGAGAAAATTAAGTTTCTCCAACAAGAATGCTTTAACATTCACCACTCCTTTGGAAAAGCTTCATAGATTTGTGAACCAACATTAATAAGTATAAATATTTCTGTTATTGTGGAATTAACAAATGACGTGGGGGTGTAAAATAGGCCAACATCCATTCACCTTAAAAACAAACAAAGTCATTTTAGTGTCAATGCTTAGTGCTATAAATGACACACACAGGCCGGATCAAAAAGATGATAGGCATAAAGAGTCCATGGTGTGTGATGATGAATATCTTGCCTATCAAGCTTATTTTCCTCTGCTAGAATGGTTTCATAAGTAGCAATCATTAAGATCATATCGTAAGCAGTGCCCCTTGTAAATTCCAAACTACAAGTTACATAATCATCGGGATCATTTTGCAAGCAATGCCCCTCATAAATTCCAATCTAAAAGTTACCTAATAATGTTTATATCCATTAAAAAACATACTTGAAAATACATTATTTCCTTGTTTTACAGTTATAGCAATGTTCATGGAATTTGTAGATTCAGCACGATGAGGGATGTGCTAACATTGTTTGAGCTTTCTCGTGTTTTGTGGTGAATCAACCAATCATGTTATAATTAGATGTCACGTCAGTTAGGCCAGTTTTTGCATTCAAAGTGTCCAGAAAATACAGACCATGTTTGAGGTTCAATTTTGTTTGCAAACCAACTGACCTGCAGAACTAGTGATTAGAAGAAAAGGCATGAGCACTCTCTATTTCTCTCTACCCCTCAATCCCCTCATTTCAACGTCATTATTCTTCTTTCCTCTCATAACACTACAAAATGTATTGTACCACATAAATTTCAAATTCAACCAAACAGAAACAAACAATATCCATATCATTCACTTTTCACGATATAAAGTCAAAGCTATATGGTTAAGATAAAAAGTGTCTCAATAGACTATCACTAAGATAAAATTATGGAAATCAAAAAGTCAATTTTAAAAACTATAATTAGGTTAGCTACATTATGCTGATCTAAGGGGTGAGTGGTAAGGAAATTATTGATAGTGAAGTTAAAGTGTGGCATAAATGAGAATATAAAAATAGATATGTGGCAAATCAATGACTAAAAGATTGACAAATAATTATCTCATAACGCGATGCATGTTGTTATCAACATTTTGGCGCAAACAATGGCTCCATAAAATCCAGCTATGGAAATTCTTTAAGCAATATGGATCACGATGAAGGTGATAGTGAAGGGAGAAAGGTATATCAGATAGGCATAGATGTGAAGAGAAAAAAGAAAAGCAACGAATGATTTGGTCCTTGGAGAATATTTAGCTTCTTCCAAAATTTGTATAGATAGGTTTCAATTTAAGTTCATAGCTTTCAAATTTATGCTCCCTTCTCTGTTAAAGATGTCTAGTGATCCCGGGTGGAGAAAAAGCTTTATTATAATGATGCATAAAGTATTTAAACACATGGCTAAACCATAAGAGCACTAGATGCTTCACCCTGTAGTTACTTCATCTACCCCACCTCTGAACCGGTTGACAGAAGACTGGAAGGCTTTTTGCTCACTAGTTGTTGCGAAAGTGTCAAGTTAGCATGGTCATAGTGTTTGCTAATCAGTTGCCAGATTGGAATGATTATTAAATGGCTGATGTTGTGGCGGTGAAAAGAAATGACTACTTTGCACCTTTTTGTCGAGTAAATAGAGAAGCATGACCATGTGTCATAGTGTTCGCTATGATACATGTACCCCCACCTCTGAACCGGTTGACAGAAGACTGGAAGGCTTTTTCCTCACTAGTTGTTGCGAAAGTGTCAAGTTAACATGGTCATAGTGTTTGCTAATCAGTTGCCAGATTGGAATGATTATTAAATGGCTGATGTTGTGGAGGCGAAAAGGAGTGACTACCTTGCACCTTTTTGTAAAGTTAATAGAGAAGCATGACCATGTGTCATAGAATAGATGGCTAACAATCATGATCCACATAAACATCTGTTAATTGCTAACCCCAAATTTATCAAGGTCTTTCAAGGCTCCTAAAAGATGTATGGTTGCTACTCAAAGCTATGTAGTCATGTAGTATACTTGATATTACTACTCGAACTACCCATATCAAACATGAAGACCACAGTCCTAGAGTTTCATTATAGGCCTGCATGGATGATGCTTGATGCATCTTAGTAAGAAGGCCAAATCAGCAGCTCAAGATGAGATATCATCTATTGAAGATAATATGATGTAAAATAGACATCGTAATTGGGGCATTAAAAAAAGGTTTTAACATAAATCAATATAACGGGCAGATAAAAATAGTGTCTAAGAATTATGAGAAGTGTAGAGTGTTAGAATGAATGTAAAATGTATAAAAGATATGTTAGGCGTTTAGGAAAAGAAAAGAATGGAAAATAACAAAGTTGGCTAAAGAAATTCAGGATAAGACTAATGACGACAAAAATTTTGAGAATGAATGTAATAGATAAAAAAACAAGATAGACAAAAAAGAAACTGTTATGAATAGAGTACAAATTGTCAAGATAAGGCTAAAAAAAATGACAACAATTTTGAGAATGAATGCGCTTGATACCAAAAAATAATAATAATGATGCAAAAAAACTTATCATGAATAGTGGCAATTAAAATATACAATTCTAAGTGGCTACATAAATAGAAACTTGACAATCAAGCAAGAAAAAAAAAATCAGGGCAACAAATTACTAACCATTGGTCCCTTCTTTAGTGCATAATCTTTAGCAAATTCGCATGCTTGCTTCACTGCAAAAACATCCATACCATCAACCTGCCCAAATAAAAAATATAAATTCAGATCTCTAATCAGGGATAGTATATAAACAATAGCTACTAAAATAGCAAAAGGCCCCACACTTCATCAAAAGCACTCTTAGCAATTCAAGTTTATGCACATCCAACAGTAGTTAAAGACAATAACTCAGCAAGGTAACGGTTATGATCAAAGGATTATCATGCCTCAAAAACAAAAACATTCTTTTACAAGAAACAGAAGTGAACAACAACTCCAGGCTGCGTTAATCACCCCAATGAACTTCTGAATGCTTTACTATTAGATTATGTCGATTACTAGAACAAATCATTATGAAATCACCGTGCAAAAAACCTAAACAACAGTTTGGGTAACAACTGGAATAAGCATGAAAATTTAAAAAAGTTTTTCTTGTAAACTTTTGCATCTTGTTCAGTTTTGCTCAGCCAATAAGCAACTTTTCTGAAAGAAAATAATTGTGTATATATAGATGTGCTAGAATCCAAATAAGCAACAATTATGCTAGGTTAGATTAGGTTTCAAGTGATAAATAAAACTTCCAAATCTCTAGAAGAACGCTATCAGGATGCTTTTTAAAAGTAAACACAGCATGGAAGCCAGAGATCATCGATACATTTACATCTTCCATCTCAAGATGTAGCAAAAAATTGGAGTTACAAAACAAGCAATAAAATTGTAATACATAATAATCCCGGAAAGAACAAGTTCCAAAGAGCTCAACAACATCAATCAACCCTATTTAACTCAGTAGTGCAACTGAATCTTCTAAATGGATCTTCTAAATAATGGATTGTCTTGGTCACTACCCAATCAACCTACTTAACTCAGTAGAAAATATCCCTTTTTCAGATTAGCACAAATTAAGAACATGATCAGGGAGTTAGAAAATTTTTATGCTACAAAAAAAATCAATAATGTCAAAAACATGTCATTATAATTATGAATCCAAATAGATTAATTTATTTTAAAACATATTAAAAATAAAGAAATATTAAATAACATAACTACATCAATAAATCATAAGATTAAGTGAATGTGTATTAAGAAGAGATTTCATATTTACGACTTAGCATTTCTTTAATAATAAATAGATTATAAAGTATAATACTATTATTACTTGTACGATAAGTATTGATATATTACACTCAAGAAGACAAAAATTAAATGGTGGACTGAAACAAATGGTGGAAGTTAAAAAGCAATTGCGGGAAAGAGAGTGAGAGTTGTTATGTTAACATAAGATAGGAAAGAGAGAGAGCAAGCAGATGAGTGAAAGAGAAGAGCAACTAAGGAAAGGGACAAGATGTAAATGAGCTAGAATGCGAGCATAAACATGGTTAAAAAGTGACTCAAATTAGTGCAGGTGGTGTGCATCGAAGCAGCCTAAAGATGGGGTATTGAGAAATGGCAATGAGGGAGTTTGATTCTTGATTCTAGGGTTGAAATTGGAGGAAAAGGTGATGGCTCGACATCTTAGGGTTTCAAATAGACTATTTAGTTACTCTAAGCTTCCCAAATCCATGAATGAGATGATTAGAATGAGTGGTAGTTTAACTCTAAGTTTTCCCTCAATCAGAGAGAAAATATAAAGGATTTCATTATGTAGTTTTGGATTAGTATCTACTTCAATAAAATTTGAATTGAATATTTAATTGCGATAAGAATTTATAAATATAAATAGTGAGAGTATTTCAAAAGGGAGGTTTATTATTGATGATAACTTAAACCAACCATTGCTTTAATATATGATTTTTAAGTAGATACAAAGTAATATATAACTATAGAGATAATTAATACAATTTTACAAATTATATCAGCCTTTATAATTATAAGCATTTAAATGAAAATGACTTAACAATTCGTTTGTATGTTTAGACTAAATTTTATGAGATAAGAATTATTTAAATTATAAATAGGTTTTTTTATTTTTGGGGTGAGTGCTCGAACCCTATACCTTGAGTTTCTTCACTTTGTTTCCAACTAATTTAATCCGCATTCAAACACTAGATTATAAATAGTTATAAGAAAAAAAAACCTTCAGTTTTTAGAAGGAAATTATTCACTTATCATTGCATCATAAGATAATCAAAATAATTGAATTAAGTTAAAATTTATAATTTTTTACATAGAAATAATTTAATAATTATTCAAGAAAAAATCACAATTTATAAATGATTGCACGTATATGGAGGTAAACTTAATGGTAATTAATTAATTAATTAATGAAGTATATTTTTGCATCCTAGACATTAAGCAATTCAAGTAATTTTATTATATGTCTTCAGCTTGGAATAATGATTGGCTTATAGGGATTGAGGCTCAAGCGATGATGAATGGTTTAATGAGTATTGCTTGCACGTATATAAGTAGGAAATTTTCTTTCTAAATTAGATCAATAGTTAATTTTTTTCTAAACTAGATACAGTCTATGGATTTAGTTAAGATTCTTTTTCTTTATATGCATGAGATAATACTATTATTACAAGATTATCATCATAAATGGCTTTCAATAATTTATCTCTCATGTAAACGATTCTTTGTATTGCTATGAATAAAGTGTAGGTCTTTCAACTACTCATACTAGACAATACAATGTTCCGTAAAAATAAAAAATTATATGTTAAGGAGAAATCAAATAAAATATATATTTAAATGCTTGCATATCTATATCAAAGATAAAGGACACCCTCTTATGTTACTAGTTAGGAACACATTATACCTGCACATAGAGATTATTACTTTTTTTAGCCCTAATGTTGGGATAGATTTAAAATAAGAATATTAATATTCAAGTACGTAAAATGATATAATTAAATAGTGATCTATTGATTGTTGTGTTAAATATGTATATATATATATATATATATATGATTTATTTCCTTTCAACTTCACACCTCCAAAATTCTATCGAATACCTCGATTTCATTGTTAATAACCAAGATTGAGGAATAATGTTTATGATTATCATTGTTATCGATATGAAGAGTCATGTTCTATGATTTATTTATAGTTTAAGTATGTTGACTAGCATTCATATTGTTTTGAGGTATTCAGTTGATCAGCTTGGATAGTTTGATTTATGGATTGGCTAAACCAAATGATTTTACTTGAAAATTTTTCAAAATCAAACAAACTAAACTATTATTCAAAACAAATAAAATCAAACCAAGTTTTAGCTTCATCAATTTGATTCAACTTTGAACCAAAATATAATAAACTTTTATAATGAACCTCATAATTTTTTAGCTTAAATAACAAATCTTAAGAAGAATACAAAGTAATCTTGATTAGAATCTATAATTTAAACATATGGAATAGAAAAATTCACACTAATAGTATGTCCTTTTCTTATTTATATGGTTTTATTCATTTAATATTTAAAGAAATAAATATAAATTGATTTTTAGTTTGATCAAGTTTACAAAAGCAAAATGAATTAATGACCAAAAAAAGAAAAAATTATAGCTAATAATTAAACCAATACTTTAACAATCACGCCAAACAAAGCAAATAAATTCAGTTCAGTTTGATTTTTTTAAGTGTTATCCAAGCAATTCAAACTCCTGATATTGTTTTCTTTTTATTTAAAAATATTATAATCTAGAACAGTGATTTACTACTAAATTATTTTCGAACTCACCTCGATTTATGTTAATATTTATTAGACAAAATTGAGATTGATATGGTCATTGAAGGCTAAGTTCTAAGTTATTAGTTGTACCTTGGAGTTGGAAGCATTGTTTACTATCATATTAGATGTGAATTGTCTTTGATGTAAGGAAAAAGTTATAACGCTGTTCACGTTAGTATCATTTTATTGTCATTTCATAGTAAAATGGAATTGGGTAGTGACCAAGACGATCCATCGTCACAATTATCCATCCTCCCTCAAGCTTCTAAGCTTGGTTATAACAACTATTCCATGATTAGACTAATCTAAGATTCACCAGAGATAATTCCAATCCTCTTAAAACTTAACTAGATATTCTACCCTCAAAATTAGATATACACTTTTTCGGGTTTTCAAATAATGGACGCCGGAAATAAAAATAAAGCAGTTTATAACTATGGCACCTACCACTCACAATCAGTGAGCCCGAAGGTCATCTCCCTACGATACATTAAAAATATGGAAACTTTAAATAGATTTTAAACTTCACTGAAAAAGGGAGAGGAGGAAGAACATGATCACAAAAACTTATAAGAACTAAATTCATTAACTACAAAAAATTACACACATACATGTACTGGCATTACCAAACAACCAAAGCCTATTTAGTTAAGACCATGTTCGCCTTCATAATATCAAAAAAGACAGATTGGTACCTTATTACAGGAAGAAATGGATCTTCCACAACATGAAAGGTTCCATAAAGCACCAATACTTTATTAGCAGAAATTAAACAATTTGTGTTCGTAAAAAGTGGTGTTTATCCGTGATAAAAATTGACAGCATTTCTCTCAAAAGTTTTTTCTTGGAAAGAACCAAAAAAATATCCAGATGTACAGTATATAAAGCAACTTTGCATTATAAGGGATTGCTGGATAGGATTGTTACATGTTTTCAGTTTAACTTGCAAGCCTTTTGCAGCAAACCAAACATTTTTTACGTAGCTGAAAAATATTTGTGATTAACGGATTGCATCTACTCGTAATTATATTAAAGAGCATGAATTATGAACTAAGATGATGGGATATTTGAAAAAATGATTATTTTAAAAGATGCATAACCTTAGATGTTTGAAGGAATCATGAGCAAATTCACAGTAGGGGCACCAAGACCCATGCCTTCCTCTAGCCTAGCCCAATACTATGATATAATGGTGTTGATATTTAGGTTTTTAAGGGAGGTGTTATTTTCCCCACCCAGCCATTCAACATGGGAAGGAAGGCAGATTGCGTTTTGTAGTTCGATGTGAAATCAGCTTAACCCCTACTTACCCATTGAAACATTATTTTGCATTTTCTCTATCATGTTTCTCCCTTAGGTAACAACA